GAAGTTAAACGTTGCAGGGGCCGAGGAAGAGGGAGCTTGGAGGGAAGGTTTACTCCGCCATCGCTGATGACTCTTGGGTTTGCACTGGTCCTCCTTCTCCTCCTCCTCCTCCTCCTCCTCCTCTTCCTCATCCTCATCCTCATTCTCATCCTCATCCTCATCATCACCATCATCCTTATCATCAGATCATAAGCATCATCAGCAGCAGCATCATCATCATCGGCAGCATCATCTTTATCAGACTAGTAACAATAATCATCATCCGCATCATCATCCTCAGCATCATCATCATCATCGTCATCAGCAGCATCAGCATAATAATCAGCACCATCAGCACCAGCAGCATCGTCATTATCATCATCGTCTTCATCATCAACGTCAACATCAATATCAGCATCGGCATCACCACCCTCACCACCCCCATCACCATCGGCATCATCATCATCATCATCATCATCATCATCATCATCATCATCACCATCATCATCACCATCATCAGCAGCAGCAGCATCACCATCGTCGGCCCTCGCTCGCAGACCGAGGAGGATCGAAAGCGCCCGCGACCGCGGGCGGCGAGCATGGGCCGCGCGACCGCGCGGCACGCGGAGGTGCCGGAAACCGGCCGCCGGGGCCGGCGCCGGCCCAGACGTCCTGAGCCTCTGCGTGGTTCAGGTACTCCTGGGGGGGAAAGGGGGGGGAGGGCGGGGGGGGTTGGAAAGGGGTGGGAGGGGGGGAGGTGAAGGTCACCAGGGAGGAGGCGAGGGGGGAACTGGAGGAGTACGGGGAGGGTCGAGGAAGGGAGGGTGGAGAAGGGGTGGAGAGGGGGGGAAATGGGGGTGGGAACAGGGGGGGGGAAGGGGGAGGAAGGGGCAACCAGGGAGGATGCGAGGGGGGAAAAGGGGGGGAGGACGGGGAGGGTCGAGGCAAGGGAGGTGATTAAGGAGGTGAGAGGGGGGGGAAAGGGGGGGGTGAAGGGGGGAATTGGGTTGGGGGAGGAAGGGCAACCAGGGAGGAGGCGAGGGGTGGGGAAAAGGGGGAGGGAGGGGGTATGAAAAGGGAGGATAGTTAAAGGGGAGGGGTGGGAAGGGGAAGGGTAATAGGGATGGGGAGGGTAATGGGGGAAGAAGGGGACGAGGGGAGGAAGACGGGGGGAAGGGTAACAGGGGAAGGCGCGGAGGAAGGAGGGAAGGGGAGGAAGGGTAATAGGGTGAGGGCATTGAAAAAGGAACCATTGGAGAAGGAATCCAGGGGCTGGAGGCAGGTGGAACTCCAATCGAGGCTTGGCCATGGAAATCACCGCCGCTCTCATGAGATAATGTCCAGGGTCTGCAGCCGCCTGGGCGCAGTCCTTAACCAACGCCCCCACCTTAGGAGGAGACGAAGGGGGAGCGGGAGAGGAGGAGGGCCAGCACGTCCTCAGCCGCTCTGGCTCAAGCACCCTCTCGGCTCAAGCGCCGAAGCTGGCCCTGAATCACCTGCCAAGGAGTTGCGACGACGTTCCGCTCGTTCTCGCTCACCGCTCGCATGCACTAAGAGGTGCCAGTGGCGAAGGAAAGCCATGGGGAGGAGGTGGGTGGTGAGGCAGAGCTGCTAGTGGCGAAAGACAGCCACCAATGAATAAGACGGGCGGTGAGAAGACGGCGGGGGCGCTGGGGCGAGCCGAGGGCATGGCGTGAGCGAGAGTGGGGCCTCCTCGGCGCGTGGGGATTGCAGTAGGACCACAGATCGCAGTCGCTCGCGGAAGCCCACCACGCATCCCTCCAGGGGTAGGAAAGGGGTGCGGTGTAAAGGGGTGTGGTGCCAATGCTGGACCTGGCGAGGTGATTCATCGTAGACAGTAGTGACATTTCCACGATTGGCGCCACAACCCTTTGTGCCAACCCCTCTCCGACCTCCAAGATCCCGAATGACACGAGGTGAAGGGTTGGTCGACCCGGCCCAGCCGAAACCGTGAGGGGTGCGTCTGCCGGCAAGGCTGCCGTGCTGTCCGCGCGCGCGGAGGCGCGGGGCGCCTGAAAGACGAAAGGAGGAGGAGGAGGAGGAGGAGGCGATGGAGGAGGAGGAGGAGGCAGGTTTACCAGGTGGAGGAAGAGGGGGAGGAGAAGCGACCGTGCCGAAGGGCAATAGGGCCTGGAGCTCGGCACTGCCTCTCGGGCGTGGGCGCCGCTCAGCTGGCACAGGAGAGGCCCTGGCCGAAGCTCCCTGCACGGCGGCCCCCGCCAGGAGAGCACGCCCGGGGAACGAACGCGGCGCGGGCTCGAGCGACACGGGAGCGGCGAGCACGTCGAAAACCTGGTCCAGCCTGGGCAAGGCCGTGTGATCTCACGGAGGGATCTTGAAGCAGCCGTCAGGGTTCGGGATCCTCCCCGACGCGCCACAAGCCGAATCCGTCCGTGTCGGGGATGGGGCCATCTTGGGTCCCACCGCTTGGAGGTGCCGCGCCAAAAACTGACCCACCAAGAACGGACCACCCAAAGTTCAGTCACGGGGTCCGAAGGGTGAAGCTTGGCGACCTCATGGGCCCCCAGGGCCGCAAAGTGGTTCCCCCATGTCCTGAAATTTCCTTACTTGACCTCGCTGTCCGCACAGCGGCGAACCTGTCCTGCGACCTTGCCCATCGAGATCCCCCCCCCTTCCCCCCCAAAACAATTACCCTGGCGACGTACCCAACCCCTGCGCAAACGCGGGGCGCAAATAGTTTAGGACACTTTATAGAAGGGGGCGATGACGGAACGAGGGGTACCTATGTCTGCAGACGGAATTCGGGACACTCGCAGGACACTGGCTACAGGACAAAGACTAGATAATGCTGATTAGTTACAATCCCTGAGCAACCCTAGCCACTTCGAAGGCGGGGATCTCAGATCGCAGCCCCCCAGGGATGGCGAGGTCTAATTTGAATCTGCGTGTGGCGACACTGTGCTGGGCCCCTCAGCAGGCCTCGAAAGTGGCGACAGTTTCACAGATCGCAGCCCCCCCAGGGATGGCGAGGTCTAACTTGAATCTGCGTGTGGCGCCACTGTGCTGGGCCCCCCAGCAGGCCTCGAACGTGGCGACAGTTTCACAGATCGCAGCCCCCCAGGGATGGCGAGGTCTAGTTTGAATCTGCGGTGAGTGCCCACTGTGCTGGGCCCCCCAGCAGGCCTCGAAAGTGGCGACAGTTTCACAGATCGCAGCCCCCCAGGGACGGCGAGGTCTAATTTGAATCTGCGGTGAGTACCCACTGTGCTGGGCACCCCAGCAGGCCTCGAAAGTGGCGACTGTTTCACAGATCGCAGCCCCCCCAGGGATGGCGAGGTCTAATTTGAATCTGCGGTGAGTACCCACTGTGCTGGGCCCCCCAGCAGGCCTCGAAAGTGGCGACAGTTTCGCAGATCGCAGCCGCCCAGGGGTGGCGAGGTCTAGTTTGAATCCGCGGTGAGTACCCACTGTGCTGGGCACCCCAGCAGGCCTCGAACGTGGTGACAGTTTCACAGATCGCAGCCCCCCCACAGATGGCGAGGTCTAATTTGAATCTGCGCGGGGCCCTCACTGTGCTGGGCCCCCCAGCAGGCCTCGAAAGTGACGACAGTTCCACAGATCGCAGCCCCCCCGCAGATGGCGAGGTCTAATCTGAATCCGCGCGTCGCCCTCACTGTGCTGAGCCCCCCAGCAGGCCTCGAAAGTGGCGACAGTTTCACAGATCGCAGCACCCCCGCAGATGGCGAGGTCTAATCTGAATCCGCGCGTCGCCCTCACTGTGCTGAGCCCCCCAGCAGGCCTCGAAAATGGCGACAGTTTCACAGATCGCAGCCCCCCCACAGATGGCGAGGTCTAATTTGAATCCGCGCGGGGCCCTCACTGTGCTGGGCCCCCCAGCAGGCCTCGAAAATGGCGACAGTTTCACAAATCGCAGCCCCCCAGGGATGGCGAGGTCTAATTTGAATCCGCGCGGGGCCCTCACTGTGTTGGGCCCCCCAGCAGGCCTCGAAAATGACAACAGTTTCACAGATCGCAGCCGCCCAGGGGTGGCGAGGTCTAATTTGAATCCGCGCGGGGCCCTCACTGTGCTGGGCCCTCCCAGCAGGCCTCGAAAGTGGCGACAGTTTCACAGATCGCAGCCCCCCCCAGGGATGGCGAGGTCTAATTTGAATCCGCGCGGGGCCCTCACTGTGCTGGACCCACCAGCAGCCTTCGGAAGTGGCGACAGTTTCACAGATCGCAGCCCCCACAGATGGCGAGGTCTAATTTGAATCCGCGCGGGGCCCTCACTCGGCTGGACCCACCAGCAGCCCTCAAAATGGCGACAGTTTCACAGATCGCAGCCCCCCCAGAGGTGGCGAGGTCTAATCTGCCCCGTGGTGCCTCACTCGGCTGGACCCCCAGCAGCCCTCAAAAGCCCCTCACAGACGGGCGAGGTCTAATCTGAATCCCCGTGGTGCCTCACTCCGCTGGACCCACCAGCAGCCCTCGAAAGTGGCGACAGGTCACAGATCGCAGCCCCCCCAGAAATGGCGAGGTCTAATGTGAATCCCCCTGGTGCCTCACTCCGCTGGACCCCCCAGCAGGCCTCGAAAGTGGCGACAGTTTCACAGATCGCAGCCCCCCCACAGATGGCGAGGTCTAGTGGTGCCTCACTCCGCTGGACCCACCAGCAGCCCTCGAAAATGGCGACAGTTTCACAGATCGCAGCCCCCCCAGGGATGGCGAGGTCTAGTCTGGGTCTGAATATGACCCCACTCCGCTGGACCCACCAGCAGCCCTCGAAAGTGGCGATAGTTTCGCAGATCGCAGCCCCCCACACAGGGATGACCAGGCAGGAGGCAAGCCACGCGGCGACGAGCAAGGTGAGATGCAGGGGGGGAGAGGAAAGGAGGAACGAGGCGGGAAGGAGGAGGAGAAGGAGGAGACGCGACCGCACTGCTCTATTCAAAACGAGAACCCAACGCAGGAGGGTTGGGAAAAATCCCACCGATCCCATATCTGTCCCCAGAGGCCAGGGACGCAGCCCTTGACATCACCTGCAAGCCGCCCGTCTGGCGGGCCTCGTGAAGCACGACCCAGACTTTGGCCACCGAGGCGATGTGCGCCACGTCGGGGAAATCGCGAGGGAAGCCGAACTGCTTGAGGTTTCTCAGAACGTCCCCAGGGAGCCAGTCGGCAGGGCCAGGAAAAAGCTTATGGATCAGGCGCTTCTCGAACAGATCGAAGGCGGCAGGGAGTGGATCAAGCTGTGCCACGAAAGAGGCCACGGAGACGATGAATACACGATACGCCTCCACAGTGTGCATCGTTCCAGCACCGATGCCCCCCCATACCGAAGCTCGATCCTCCATCTTCTTGAACACTCCGTCCCAAGATTTGTGTTTCCGGCCAAGCCATGCATAGGCTCCTAAACACCTTTCGGAACCGGCAATTCCCAAACCTCCCAAAAATGGAACCTCGCGCCGAAGATGTGCTCGAATCTGGTCACGGCCAAGAGAGCCCAAGGGTTAGAAGAACCGTTTTGACCACGTTCAGGGTCAAGCCAGAACTGCGGGCGTACTTCGAGAATTACCGCTCGAGAAGACGCAAATTCGTCATGAGGCACGGATCCACGAGGGCGGTGTCGTCCGCTTCATTTTCGGAGCGGTGCTTTGCCCCCGTCGTTCACAATGGCACTCTCGCCCCGGCGTGGGCCACTTATCTGGATCCGCGCCCTTCCTCTTCGTTGTCGCCCTCCTTTCCTTTCCTTTCACACCCATGCTAAGCAGGCCGCTTGGGTGTTACAACTGCTACACGTCACACTTCCCTTCAGCCCCGCCGCCCAACCGCACACCTCCCCGCCCTTCCCCTGGTCCTCCTGCTCCCGCTCCTTCCTTCCACTCCAGTTCCCGCTGTTGATGTTTGTCCGCGTCCTCCTCCTCCTCCTCTTTCCTCATCCTCCCCCTTTTCCTTCTGCTCAGCTCCTCTGCATTCCCATGGTTCTCCTGCTCCTCCCGTTCCTTCCACTCCAGTTCCCGCTGCTACTGTTCGCCCTCGTCCTCCTCCTCCGCCTCCTCCTCCTCCTCCAACATCCTCTTCCTCTTCATCCTGTTCCTTCTCACCCGCCACCTCCTCCTCTTCTTCCTCCTCTTCTTCCTCCTCTTCCTCCTCCTCCTTCTCCTCATATGTGTACGCAACTCCCTCGTTTTTCCGATTGCGCATGCCACACTGGGTGCCTTCCGGGTCGGCTATGGCGCGCGTCCGCGACGAGGGAAACCAACACGGTGGGAGGGGGATGCGAGGGAGGGATACGCTGTCGGATAGGGCGCGAGCGCGCCCAATTGGCCTCTCTCCTCACCCGCCTCGCTGCTCTCATCGCGCCTCCCCTCCTCTCGCACTGATCCCTGTGGTTGCGTCCTTCGCTCTGCGTCAACTGCTTGCTGCTCTCTCCTGCTATCCTCCACTCCTGCCCGCTCCTCTCCCGCCTCCCGTCTCTTGGAGGGAAGCGGGAGGGAGGTAGTGTGGTTTCATGCTAGGGCTTATCCTCCTCCTTCTCCTCATCATCATCCTCATCCTCCTCGTCCCTCATCCTGCTCCTGCTCCCTCGCCTCGTCCTCCTCGTCCGCCTTGTCCTCCTCGTCCTCTTCGCCCTCCTCGTCCTCGTCCTCCTCCTCCTCATCCCCACCATCGTAATCATGATCATCAGCATCATCATCATCATCATCATCATCATCATCATCATCATCATCATCATCATCATCATCATCATCAACGTCATCATCATCATCATCATCATCATCATCATCATCATCATCATCATCATCATCATCATCATCATCATCATCATTATGATCAACACCATCATCACCACCACCAGCATCATTATCATCATTAGTATCATCAGTATCATCTTGATCGTCATCACCATCATCATCATCATGATTGCCATCGGCATCATCAGCAGTAGCAGCATCATCATCATGATCATCAGCAGCAGCGGCAACATTATCATCAGCAGCAGCAGCAGCAGCAGCATCATCATCATCATCAGCAGCAGCAGCAGCATCATCATCATCATCATCATCATCATCATCATCATCATCATCATCATCCTCATCATCATCCTCATCATCATCATCATCATCATCATCATCATCATCAGCATCTTCATCCTCATCCTCATCCTCATCCTCCTTATCATCCTCCTCCTCCTCCATCTCTTCTTGCTCCTCCTCCTCGCCCTCCTCCATCTCTTTCCCTCCCCCCCCTCCCCCTCCTCCTTCTCCTCTTCCTCCTCCTCGTCCTGCTCCTCATCCTCTTCCTCTTCCTCGCACCTCCTCCTCCTCCTCCTCCTCCTCCTCCTCCTAATCATCATACTCCTCCTATAACCCCTCTCCCCTCCCCGACGTCGCTGTCCTTTCACAAAGTGGACCCCTGCAAGTCTGCAACCCTTCCCATAACCGCTTGCTCACCCTGAGCTCTCTCCGTTACCGGTCTGGGGGTAACAGGGCCCCCAGGCCAAGAATTGCCGAGGTAACCCCGTCGTTCTTCTTCACCACGCGAGGGCGGGGCCCTCCAGTATGGTATGACTCCCTGCCCCCCCCCTCCCCCTCGGGTCCTCGTTGGCAGCGCCGTCCGCCCTGGAGCCCTCACCTGATCGACGGGAGAGGAGGAGGGGGTTTGCGCACGAGGGCACGTGGCGACCAAACGCGGCGGCTTCCCCGGGTCGCCAGCGCGGCAGGCTGCGCGGCTCGCTCTCCAGAAGGCCTCAGATCCAAGACGTGCGCATCTCCTGCAGGGCCAGCATGTTTTTCCGCCGGCCTCCGTCGGCCTTCCGCCAGCGGGGGCCCTGCCGATTTGCTGCCGCCAGCTTCCTCCGCCGAGGGCGATGGTGAGTGGGAGCGACAAAGGGAGGAGGACTGGCTCGGGGGGGTGACGCTTCCTCCGCAGAGGGCGACATCGAGTTGGAGCGATGCGGGGGGAGGACTGGCGCAGGGGGGGGCCATCGAGCTGGAATCGCCGACGCATCGCCGATGCATCGGTGATAGGCCACGGGTTGCGAATCCCCATGGTCCTGGGCAGGGTGCCCTCCCCCTCCCTCCTCCTCCTCCTCCTCCTCCTCCTCCGCCTCCTCCTCGCAGCTCCTCGCAGCTCCTCCTCCTCCTCCTCCTCCTCCTCCTCTCCTCCTCCGCCTCCTCCTCCTCCTCCTCCTCCTCCTCCATCCTCTCCTCCTCCTCCTCCTCCTCCTCCTCCTCCTCCTCCTCCTCCTCCTATCCTCCTCCTCTTCCTCCTACTCCCTCCCTCTCCTCCTCCTCCTCGTCTCACGAGGTGGCTGCCTTCCAGGAAGTCTCCAGTGTTGCGATCCACTGGGATCTCAAAAAATTCTTTGATACTGTTATCCCTGCTAGGCTTGTTCGTTTCGCCACTGCTTTGAGGTTCCCACCGCACCTCTTGTACCTGGGCCTCCTCGTACATGTGGCCCCCAGGATGCTCGAGAGTAGCGGCTTCTGCTCCCAGATCATACCTGCTGGGATTGGCGTCCTCCCTGGATGTATGCAGTCTATGTCCTGGGTCAAGGTGTACTTATATCAGATATTGAATGATGTGCATAATCGGTATTTCTTTGGGAATCCCAGTGTGTCTACCAGGTCTTACGTTGACGACATATCCCAGGTGTGCCAGGGAGCCGAAGACCAGGTCCGACGGCAGATTGTTGCCGCAGCAGTTCAGCTAGGTCATTCGGTTAATGCAGCCGAGCTTGTTTTATCTAATAAGTCTGCGGTTGTCGCGAGCCGACGACCTCTTGCACTTCTTGTCGCTACCGATTTGAAAGCAGCAGGCCTCTCAGCCAGGGTTGAAGATGTTACGCGTGATTTGGGTACGGCTACCACGGCAGGAAGGAGGAGGACTGCTGCCATCGTTCGTGCCAGGCGGCGGAAGGCCACAGCTCGAGGCAAGAAAGTGCGCTACTTGACTACACTGGTCAAGAAATCGTCTAAGCTCTACAAACCAGGCGTGCTTGCAGTAGGCACCTGGGGCCACAATGTTGCTGGCCTCTCTGGGGCCCAAGTGCAGAGTGCGCGTGGGCAGGCCGCTGTCTGCTCTGGCCACTGGCATGCTGGAGCTTGCTCTACCACCATCCTGAGTGTCTTCGGGGCCGAGAAGAATGATCCTATTTTTCGTTTGCGGCGTGAACAGTTATCTGGTTTTGTGACGCTTTGGAAATCCCTTTGTGATAAGGAGAAGCTGCGTGTTTCCCAGGTCTGGCAGGCTCGGTTTCAGGAGTACGTCAGTATCCCCAGGAACCAAGTTTGGAAACGGGTCCGTGGGCCGATTGCCGCCACTGTTGCTGTCTTGCTTGACCTGGGCTGGTGCCCATTGTATCCAGTGCATTGGCGTGACAACTTTGGCAATGACCTCTACACTGAGGCCCTGGATTTTGCCGTGACCTTGCGACGTGCTATCAAGGCCACGTGCAGCGGCCTGGTCTGGAGCCAGGCTGCCAAGCATTACCATGGGTATGGAATCGCGTCGGGAGTTGATTTCACGGTCCTCAGACAGGAGATCACTCGATTGGGGAAAGACTCCGATTACGAGGGGCAGTCTTTGCTTTGGAACCTTTGCTCTGCTGGCTTCTGGACTGACCAGAGGTTGCATGAGGAAGGATACCACACGGTTTCTAATGGTATATGCCCGCGCTGCGGGGAGGTTTGTGAGACCCCCTTCCACAGATTTTGGGACTGCAGGAGTAACGATTCCATCCCAGATCCAGTTGTCGAGCGTACAGCTCACCTCCGCGAGCAAGCTGCTCGTGATGTTGATTGCCCTGCCCTCTGGTGTCGGGGCCTTATGCCTCTAGACAGGACGGTTGGACATCTACCGATCGCGATTGAAAGCGCCATTGGTTGGGGATCGTTCGAGGAGTTGCCTGTCTGCCAAGGGGGCGTTTGGGGAATCGACGGATCGGGGGGGGGAGCACGCTAAGGATGAGAGACTAAGGCGTTGTGGGTGGGCCTGCGTTAGACTAGGTGCTACCCTGGACAACATCGATGGGGGCATCGCGGGGACCCTGGGAGGTGAACAGTTTAGCCCACGTGCTGAACTTCTCGCGTTGATTTATGTGTGTCAGTATACTTATGGGCGTATCTTGGTTTTCAGTGATTACTTTCCTGTTGTGCGAGCTTTCCGACGTCCACGGGCCTTGCTGGCCAACTCTGAGATGCTGAACCTCTGGGTTCGCCTTTGGGGAGTCCTTGACGCCCGAGAAGGGGACATCGACCTCCGCTGGACCAAGAGTCACCCCACAGGCCCC